TCCCGGCCCCTCTCTTTTCCAGGCCGCCGAGCAACGCGAAAAGCAAGGTGTACGACAGCCAGGGGCTGCTGATCGCGAACGGCAGGGACCTGTGCGACTGCCTGGACCCCGAGTGCCTGGGCTGCTTCTACCCCTGCCCCGAGTGCGGGTCGCAGAAGTGCGGCGTGGAGTGTCGCTGCGACCGCAAGTGGCTGTACGAGCAGGTGGAGGTGGAGGGGGGGGAGATCATCCGCAACAAGTACGCCACCTAGTGGTCCACGGCTGTCCAGACACCCGGAGCACAAGCCGTCAGAGCTGGGCTTGGGGAATTCCCGGAGGTCCTTTTGTATTTTAGAGACTCATTCTGAAGTTGTCGTCACTACTGCTGTTCCAGATAGAACCCCTCTGTACTGCACACATTGCCGCCTTCTTAACACTTCTGTACATATTGCTGTGGCCTGGAGCAAGGCTGTTTATAACGTTCAGTAAATGCGAATAAATGTTATTTATATATTTTGGAAAACTGGTGCGTGTTGCGTACTTATTTAATGTGCTGACCCGTGTTTTTGCGAAAGTTGGTTTGATCGGCTTTTGCTCTCATTCCACTGGTTCCCACACTTCATTGTGTTCTTATCTCTGGGTAATCCGGTAATCCTTTAATCCCCGATGCTCACACGGTGAGCTTCATAGGAAACGAGCCTTTTTAAATATTAAATCCTGCTTCTATTAGTGACACTCCTGAACCTGGACTCAGCTTTATTAAAATCAGTGTTGATCATTAGCACCTTACGAGTTGCTGTGGCATGTAGCATGTTCCATATTTCCACCTTAATGATATAAGGAAAACAAGCACTTTACACTGCTAGTCCAGTCAGTTTGGTCTGTATCCTTGTACAGTGTAATGCAATATTTTGGTCTTCAAATCAAATGATTTGTTCTGTTCTGAATATCACTAAATTAGCCCCCGGGTGCAAACAGCTTGCAAATGCTGCCAAGAGGCACAGAAATTGTTCTGTAACGTGACGTCTGAGATCCTAGTGTTTTGGGAGTTGTTTCATTATTCAGAAATTGTAATGAGCTTGGTAAAGCAAACGTGAAAGGCTCTATCCAGAAAACTCGGAAGTTTGGTGAACACTAAACGAGGACGAGGTTTGTTAGAAAACATTTTTAAAGGGGTGATCCTGGTATTATTTTTCTGATCACATACATGTAGAGCTCCTAAGATGAAGATGCCTTTTTTTCCAGGGCCGAGTTACTTTTAAAGGTCTGAAACAGCGCCACCTTGTGGTCAGAACCTGGAAGTACAGTTATATTTTGAGTGTGAAATACAGTCCAGTAGTCGCACACTCTACTTCAGAGGTATCATGGGGAAAAATGGTCACAGTGAGTGCTCGTGCTGACTAGATCCATTTCCCTTTCTCTTTACATTTTTTTTAAATTGATTTGATCGACCTACTTTGTCTTTAAAAGTTGCACCACATGCGCCAAACAACTTTTCCCCCGGAAACAAGTTGTAGCGATTAATTAGCGCTTCAAGCTGTCCGAGTTTTTAGAGTTGAATACTGAATGAATAGAGAATTATATGAGGGACATCGGTGGCGAGTGTCACATACTGGCAGCTCTTTGTGCTGGGAGACTTCTTGTTTTGTGAATGATGTCACCCTCGTTTGTCCATGAAAAGTGCTGTGTGGTAGTACTTCAATTTTGAATGAAAGGTATGCTACAAAAACATTTTGACACGTTATGACGGGATTGAACAGAAGTTTGGGAGGGATAAGGAAGACGCCTTCAGTCTCGCACAGCTGCTCCTGATCGACGTCAGTACGGAAATCGGCTCTAGTGTGTGTCGGACACAAACACCTCCCTTCGCGTTTGTCCGAAGGGTGTCCCTCCTCTCCACCTTCCAGCTGCCCCCTGATTCACTCCTTCTGAAGGGGGTTCGGGTCTCCTCGACCTGCAAGCCCACCGACCAAGCCCAACCTCTCCCGCCAATTACTCCAAACGTCCACAAAGCGCTCAATTCTTGGATGTCGCTGTCCCTAGTGAAAATGTTTTAATTACACAAATTTTAAGCCATTTTGCTCTTTGAGCACTCTCCCGAGAGGACTGTTTCCACTAATGACATTGTAATGAAGGTATTAGCCCGGGCAGCAGTGTGACAGCCGCCTGCTGGCCACTGTCCAGCACTCCCCCCCCCGAGCCTGGGCTGTAACTTTATCCTTCGCTCTTCACAAAGACGGATACCGTTCCAGAAATGTTCCTGGCAGCTCCGCCAGGCTGCTGGACGTGGTGTTCTCGTATCTCACCTTCGGCCCACTTATGTTCCAAAGTGATATAAACACAGGTCACAAACCTCTCCCGCCCCCTTTTCCTGGGTGATGTAACTTTCTGAACCATTTCAAGCCACAATATAAGATAAGGTCACCTTATTGGCCATATACAATTTCTTGCATTAGGAATTTGTCTTTTCACAGACCCCAACTTGCTCTCCATGAGACACACAGACAGGGAGAGAAGCTGGGGGTCAGAGCACAAGGTCAGCACCCCTGGGATTAAGGGCCTAGCTCGGGGGCCCAACAGACTAGGATTCCTCTGCCAGCCGTGGGATTTGAGCCAGCAACCTTCCAGCCACAGGCGCAGATCCTTCGCCACAGTGCCACCACTCCACCCAGAATCTGGAAGATATTACGGAAGTAGGCTCAGAGGCGAGGAGGAGGCAAACACTGGTTGTACTGTGTAGTTGCCAATGGTCCAGCCGCGTGGGAAATGAACCCAGAGCCTCGCTGTGCCCACCTGGTTTATGGGTTTGTACTGCATTCAAATGCAGATCGCTCAGCACGGCTGTCCTCTACCAAGTGGGACATCCTCGCATGTTTAAAAAGGATCTGATCGGCATAATCGCACACACCCCGTGAGAGCATGTGCAGGCCGAGCTGCGGCACACAGTAACGTCATTGGTCCTCATTAGTTTTCTCCCTGAGCACCGTAGAGATGAATGCAGGGTCTGCAAACTCATAATGCCATGAAATAACCCCTTAAATTATTCATCTTTCTGTAACACTACACAACGCAGGAGGAGGAGGGGTGCCTCCACAGCAGAGACATGTGCTCTGTGTAGCTGCCACACTGGGTAATTGAATTGTTGCCCATGAGCCTCTGCAGTGCTTGGGCTCTCAGCAGGCTGTTAATGAGGCCTGTTTTCGCTTCCTTTCAATCCCATCAGCTCGAGTTGCACTAGAATCATTTGTTTCCTGGCACACTGATGTGCCTGAGGAACAATTTCTGTGTTTGCTTTTCAAATCAGCCTTTGCTGTGTTATAAAAACAACGGCACTGGGACAGCGCTCGTCATCCAGAAGGAGCAAGAATTGTCCTCAAGGGAGGCTGACCCACCTCACCCGTCACCGAAGTGTGCACTGACCTGGGTGACACTCATCAGCCTGTCTGCTCCACCCAGCGGGCAAGAAAGCGACCCTTCGTTATTGTCCACACCCAGAGTGGACCGTAATCCGCTCCAACACTCTCATCAATATCTCCTCCCCAGGAGGGGAACCTGCTGCGCAAACAATCTTGTTTGCTGGGAGGCCATCTATACCTTACTGCTGCACAGTACAAACAGCGTCAAAGCCTGTTTCTCATGGCATGTCTGTATTTTGTGTGGTCCTGCTGCTGGATCAGCACACCGAGCAGACAATAAGAAATCCCAAGACATTAGTTATTTTAGCTGAAATATCCTGGGAGCAGTTTACTTGCCCGTGCCCCAAACCCTCCCTTTCCTTTGTTTTCCTGTTCTGATTTTGCCCGCAAAAAAAAATAGCATGCTTCATCACATTGCAACAGTCAGGGTCGGGATCTTATGTTGATCGAAGCACGGTTCTTTATCAATATTCTTTTAATTAGCTGTACACTCGGCAATCCCAGAAGTGCCATGATTTGTTTTTTCCGAGTGAAAAAAGGCAGGCTAAGGATGGTTCCACCACTCCCATTACAATTCTTACAATCCAAGTCACATTTTCAAAGTGCAGATGAGGGGTAGTGGTGTGCCTTTCCCTGCAGCACCAACACGGGGAACTGGTGAGAGCTGTTTACAGGCACAGCCGCAGGGGGGGAATACAGCAGTCAATACCGTTTCATCAGATGGTACTTTTTTGCCGTTTCAACCCCGAGTAAAAGTTTGTTTTTTGTTGGGTTTTTCCCCTCGGGTACGTGGGAAGCAGCAGAGGTGGAAAACCAGTCGGAAAATCCTTGTTTGGATTAATTTCCGACAGCGGGGGATGTTCGGGGATTACTGCTCATTGCCATTTATAAGCTGCCCTTCGTCTGAAACATTAAACACAGGCATTATACGCCTCCCAAGCATTTAAAGCAGGTTCCATTAACGATATTTAATGCTGACAGAAATCTCAACTGCCTAGGCTTGACTGAAGTCTGGCCCAGAAGAAGGGACAGTGTCTTGTTTAACTAGATTATTCCTCCAGAGTACAGCGTCTGTGAACAGTCTCTTCCCTCTGGCCATGGTGGGGTCCTGATGGTTATTTATCATTTACTTTTCTGCGCGCGTCCAACTGTTGTACCTCTGCTCTCTTCTTTTGAGTGTCTTGTTCCCCAGTCTACAATCATTGTACACTTCACAGTTTGCCTTTTAAAGTGAATCTGCTGATTTACAATCTCTGTTCTCAATCCAGCTCACAAAAGAAGGTCACGCCTTGGGTTTAGTTATTGTGAATGACTCTGTCGTTTCACACTTATCTAATCCTGAACTAGGTCTTTCTGATCTCTCTGCTTTTGTCTTTGGTCTAGAATCCCCTGTCTCACTCTCTTTAACTTCACACTCTGTAAGTGTTCACCACTGGCGAGCGGTTGATCACAACCGGTTTGCCGATTCTGCTCTCTCTTCACCATCTTGCGTGTTTAGTACCTCTCTTTCAACTCCTATTGATAGCTTAGCTCCTCATAAATCTCCTCTATTCACTCTGCCCCATGGTTTACGGACCTGTTGTGTTCAATGAAGGCATACTCCTGCAAACTAGTATATAGGTGGCATCTTTCTGGCTAGAATGTACGTCCACAGTCCTGGAAGGCACACTTGATTAAATACAAAGGTGCAATGGAGCCTTACTAGATCCAGCTTCTTCTCCCACAGCATTGAGGATAACCTGAACAATCCTAGATACCTGTTCTTCACCATCAATCGATTGCTAAAACTTAACCGCCCCACTACATTATCTGCTTCATCCCACCTTTGCACCACTTTTTTAGAGGTTTTGCAACTGAGGTCGCCAATATCTGGCATCACATTTTCTCCACCTCACTTGCTGCTACTTCACCTTCTCCCTGCGTGCCTGTTTGTACTGGTTCTCCTCTGTCTGCTTTTCTGGATCTGGTCTTCTATATATCCCCCGAGCTCAGTTACACTTCATGGGTGACAGGGTCTCCTCCTGCTTTGCCCCAAAGGTCTGGAAATCAGAGTTTGCAATTAAAATGTAGACTCAAAACCTTTCTTTTCAGAAAGTCTTTTATTATAATAATAATAATACCTTACACTTATGTAGTGCTTTTCTGGACACTCCACTCAAAGCACTTTACAGGCAATGGGGATCCCCTCCACCCCCACCAGTGTGCAGCCCCCACCTGGATGATGCACCAGTACTTTCCCCACACACCAGCTCTCAGTGGGGAGGAGAGCAGAGTGATGAAGCCAGTTCATAGACGGGGATTGTTAGGAGGCCATGACTGGTAAAGGCCAGGGGGAAATTTGGCCAGGATGCCGGGGTAACACCCCTACACTTTACAAAAAACGCCTGGGATATATCTGTGCCTGCTCCATTTTCTAATGACCTTATGCAGTATATTCTGCTGCATCGCTAACTGCTTGTGTTTCTTATATGCTTATTCTTTAATTTCCTTGTCTTGTAACTGTTTTCATTCCTTCGAGGCGCTGCCTTTAGGGAGCTATAAAAAAATGAAGTTCATTATTATATTGAATCATGCAAGTAGTTTATGTTCTCAGCTCATTCGATATTTTAAAAAGTCTTTTACATTTTTATCGAAGACAAGCTTGCAGTGCTTTCACATTTGCGTTTGCTGTCCTCACTGAGTTCTGGTCCTGTAGGAGCTTGAGATGATGTGCTGTTTCCACATCTGAGAAGCACCTCACTTTAGTTCCTAGGCCAGACTTGGACTCACCAGAATGGGCCTCTGTAGGACCAGGGTTGGTTACCCCAAGATTGGAGTTCTCCAGGACCAAGCTTGGAGACCCCTCAACTCATTGTAAAGGGTTACTGATGGTTCATTTTCTTTTTGTACAGATGCAGTATTGTGAGAGTGGATTTAAAATATTTAGAGGGTTTTTAAATGGATTTTTATTGTTTTTGCTCTGCTTTTCATAACTGCCCTTCACTTGTTTATATAAAGGCATCTAATTAGTTTACATCAGTATGGAGAACCTCAGCTCTGTTATTTATTTTTCCATTTGAATCTCATGTCTGTGTATTTGTGGATTGCCTTTCCCCATTTAATAGTAAATTTAATAGCTATTTACTATTATACATTTTTTATTCTTACACGAAATACTGCTATTTACACTTTTCAGTTTAGAAAACTGCTATCACTGTACTTGACAGTTTTCACTTGAGTTTTCAAGTGGAGACCCCTGACTAATGGGGTCTATAATGCACGCTAAAGAGTGCAAGGAGGAGGTCAGCTCAGCACCTCACAGTCCTGTGTGTGAACGCTGCCTTACAGTTTCTTGTCACTGGTGAGTTAATCTGTGAGCAGTCTGGTTCACAGCACACATGGGAGGCTGAAGGTGGCCTTACCGCAGTTCACAGAGACACCAGCAATCTCGTGTTTGACAGATGTGCCTGGGTATTCTGCAAGCCAGACCTTCAGACGTGCCGGGTGCCCAGGTGCAGAAACAGAAATCCTGTGATATTAGCACTTGCATTTCTTGGTCTGGCCATGCCTAATTCTTAACTCCCCCAGAGGAGAAACGCATCTCACTGTGAGTCCCTGTGTCCCTGCAGCAGAGGTGCTAAAGGTGATGTCATTTCCAAGCCAGTAGCAGGCAGCTTCCCAGCTTTATTACCACGGAAACCAAAAGGTGGTTCCCTGGGACTTTCCCACCTGAGGTTCAGGCTTGAATTTCTTCTGCTGATGCCGAGTTTGGATGCTCGTTCATATCAGCGCCTCGTCATTTGCTCTCTGGTTTGCAGCAGCAGACACACTTTGCCACTCTGTGTGCATTCAGTATTTCTTTTAGCTCACCTTCCAGTTGACTCTTCTGTCGGCTCCTTTATTCTCTTTTCGAGCCTGCGCTGGCCATGTATGGGTTCTGTAAGGGTGCTCTTTTCTTTCATGTTCATTTCTCCCCTTATCTTTCTCAACCGATCTGTTAAATCAGATTTTTTCTGTGTGTTTTTTTTTCTGTCCCCCCACTTCATTGCAGCGTCCTGTAAGCTGGCATGATTGGCGTAAAACTCTAAATCCCATCAGCCTTCAGCCAAGTTTGAGGAAGTTCTGAGACTAACAAAGCATCTGACTTCCTGTGTCCAGTATGTTGCAGTCTAACAGACTACAGTTTACTCACAAGGCAAGGAAACCCTCAACCTAAAAAAATGTCAGAGAAAGGAGAGGTGTATGTGGAAGACAGGATGTTTCAGGAGAGCTGGGAGTCCTGCTGGGAGTATTTATTTGCAGAACAGAAAGAAAGGAGGTTTCCTTGCAGTGGAAGGAAAATCCAAAACAAAACAAAACAAAACAAATCTAGAAACACCAGGGAAGTCAGAGGCTCCCAACACACAGCTCGAGCCTTTGTACCGAGGCTGAACTCCGACCAGCCGATCCAGTCATCAGAGTTCCTCTCCGATGTCACAACTGACTGCTTCATGTTTCAGAAGGGACGCTTAACATGGAAACTCTACGAAAGCAGGGTGAAAACATGGTAAAGCAGACAGAGGTACAGTTCCCAGAAGAGCACAGCGGGAAAACTACCAAAGAACCCCTCTTCGTGTTCCACGTGTCGAAGGGCACGAGCCAGGAGATGTGACATGTCGCTGTTTGCCCAGCTGGACCGACTTGCAATTCTCAAGTGAGAACTTGAGAAAGCAGGTGAGCTTGAAAGGCAGTCGGCTGCCCGGGTCTCTCCCAGTGCCTGGCCAGACTAAAAAGTGTTGGAGAAAAAGCCGACAAGCCCCGTCTTGCTCAGCCCACACAGGGGAATACAGAATGCGAAACCCATTTTCTCTTCCATTGCATGGAAAAAAAAAACCATTTGCCGTTCAGTTGTTCTTACAGAAACATCTTGAGGGCTTGGTATAAAACGGATGGCACTGTTATCAAAGGGGATTTATCAGAGCTCCAAGTGAAAGTGAGCCTTGTATCTTTTTTCACAGATATATCCGGAGGAGCTGGAATGATTTTGAGGAATAATTCTCTGAGTACCTTTTCCTGGTCGAGACAAAACCCAAATGACCAAACACAACATCCCTCTGCCTTCCCCCCATACAATCAGAGAAAACCAGGGACAAAAAGACACCTTAAAATAAATAAGCCATCTTCAAAGTTTTATTTTATTCTTGCATTACAATCCAGAACAGTGGATATTTTACAACAAGCTGTGCTTGGCTTGAATGGCCTCAATGTTAGTGGAACAATGCCGATGAGCTCCCCTTCGGTCTGGGTTCGCGCAGCCTAATCAGACCTGGCAGCTGAGGTAGTCTGAGCCGGGCACGCCGCAGTCTGCGAGATCGGACTTGCACGGAGCACACTCGCAGCTCACGGCCACGGGGTAGGTGAACAGGGACTC